TCCTACTATGAGTTCCACCTCTCTCTATTTTGAACGCCAGCGTTTTGAATTATATTACAATTGTGTTCTGAACGCGGAATTGTAGCGATTTAACATAACGAGAACTTGCATTGAACTTGAAATTACAATTTTCCCAAATTGCCAGATCTCTCTGCATTAACTGCAGCATCATATAAATTATATTACATAGCCATTATATTGTTTCCAGTTATCGTCGTGGCGAAGTCGTGGAGCTGGAAGATCAATTGAGTTCACTTGTCAATTTAACAGGTGGATCGCGTGTCTCCTCTTTATTAAGCACGCGATATTCTTCTGCGATGGATTTTCTACATATTCTCGTCGTCGAGTAACGCGATGTCACTTATATAATAACGACGTGTCTTACGAAGACAACGGGATAGGTTTCTCTCTAATTTAATCCAGCTGGAACTTACCGTTCCTAACCGTGTCGTAAATTCTGCAAAGTAGATGACGTCTGTGCCGTACATCCAGCATTAAGTTTTATCGAATTATAGGGGACCTTTTTCTTCGCTAACTTGGCCATTCACGTTTGCGAGCTTTCTAATTTTTCTGGCGCGAATTCTCGAATGTGTTACGAGTCAAATATTTGAGAGTTTTATATATATAGAACTGATTGACAAATAGAAATTAATTATTTGCAATTCGTTTTGCACGAGAAAGCAGCTTTCTCTCGCTCCCTTTTCTGATTGATCTGGATCGAGCTGAATGCATTAACATCAAATGAGAATTTATCGAAAATGGTAATCAACATCTTGTTACTCGTGCTGTGCGTGATCCCCCTTGAAAAAAAATATATATCAGAATTATTCGCGCTCGTTGTGTCGAAGCTCACGAAGGTAAGATTACACCGATGATTTGTAATGAACACGAATGAAGTTTGAGCAGATCTTATGGCTGAGTGGTGAAGGTGAAAGAAATTAAAAATGACGAGATCGTTCGTTTTGAAGGAGAATGAATTTCATCGAGTTGTAATATGATTCAGGAATAATTGGTCTACACGTATAATGTGTACAATACAATTCTTCATGTTTATGTTGATTCGTCCTCAGAGCTTGAATACAACTATCAATTATTATTAGTTGAAGTTGAGGTACTGTTCTAAACATTGACTGTTGACACGGGATAAGTAAGTAATATCAGTACAATTAGTGAAATTCGTAACACTATTTATCGGTCAATTAATTTACAAAATTACTCTTTCTGGAAACACGAATTTTGTTAGTTTTCGCAGTAAAACAGGCCGCGGATTTTCACGAGAATTCACACCCTTGAGACACTTATAAATAAGAAAATAGGATCTTAGCAGGAAATTGATTTATTTATCAAGGTATATTTCGATTATTTTATGTATTTTCTCACGTTACGCCCATGTTTCGTGCAATTCTGCGCTGTCGAAATTTTACTGTAAATTCACGACAATCCACGACTAAATGGTGTTAATTAAATTAAAAAATTGTCGCAGAAGCGAGAACGAAACCTTCACCGTCTAAGCTTTACAATTCATTACGTTATTTGTCGTTATATTATTATCACGTTACACGTGAGAGCAGTCAGTCACAATGTAAAAACGCGTGTCAACGTAATATCGTTAATTCAATGCCATACTGCCTTCAACATGCATTGCCGTGCAACTGTGTTGTTATGTGCTGCTTCATCGACAAAGGTTTTTATCGATTCTCTCCGCTGTTACGTG